CCGGCTGACGCAGTTCGGCGCCAGCTTCACGCTGGCCGAACTGCCGGCCGTGTTCGCCGCCTGGCAGGACTGGCCGCGCACGCTGCCCGACACGGTCTGGTCGCAGCTGGCGTTGTCGGGCAACGGCGCCTACCTGTGGGGCATCGCCGGCGGCGACGCGGCCGCGCTGCAACCGCACTGGGCCGGCCTGCTCGCGCGCATCGGCCGCACGCCGCCGGACGCGGCGATGACCGCCCGCAGCTACCGCGACGTGATGCTCGGCAGCTGCGCCAACCTGAGCCGCGCGCAATGCCACCTGCCCGCGCAGAACGCCAGCGGTGTGCTGCCGCGTGTGGCGATGGCAGCGAGCTCGGACTTCTTCAACGCACCGCTGGATGCGGCGGGCATCACCGCGCTCGGCCAGGCGATCCAGCAGCGCCGCGACAGCGGCCGCCCCGGCTCGGCGCTGCTGAACCTGATGGGCGGCGCCATCGCCCGCGTCGCGCCGGAGGCCACCGCCTTCCCGCACCGCCGCGCCCTCTTCAGCGCGCAGTACCTGGCGGAGCACCCCGCCGGCACCGCGGCCTCGGTGCTGGACGAAGCCGCCACCTGGGCCAACGGCCTGCGCTCGACGATGCAGGCCTGGAGCAGCGGCGGCGCCTACGTGAACTACCTCGACGGCCTGCTCGCCAGGCCCGCCGAGGCCTACTACGGCGCCAATCTCGCGCGGCTGCGCACGGTCAAGCAGGCCTGGGACCCGGCCGGCGTGTTCAAGGGCTTACCAGCCCTTTGACGGCGCGCGGCAGCTCGTTCTCGATCAGGTCGGCCAGCGCCTTCACCCGCTGCTCGGCCGTCGTCGCGGCCCAGGGGTTGGCGGCGGCGGCGCGGTCCACCGGCAGGCGGGCCGCCACGGCGATGGATTGCTCGCGGCGCAGACGCATGTCGACGAGATCGATCAGCGCGATGCGGATGGACACGTAGGGCACGAACACCGGCAGCTCGGGCTGGCCGTCGAAGCCGATCTGCGCGCCGGGGCGTTGGTCGAGCACGTAGCCCGGGCCTTCCAGCGTGGCGTAGATGCGCGCCGGCACGGCCGAGGCGAGCGCCGGCTCCTGGCGGCTGCGCGTGACGAGCAGCAGCGTCGCCGCGCCGCTCTGGCGCACCGCGGCGGCAAGGTTGCCCGGCAGCACCAGCTTGCCGTCGACGAAGAGGTTGGCCGGGTCGCCGAACAGGCTGCGCGTGCTGGACGTGTAGAGCTTGACCTCGCGCTTCTCGTCCACGGCCTTGATGGCGGTGTTGAGCGATTGCAGCGCCGCATCGTCGAGTTGACCCGCGGGCGTGGCCCGCCATTCGCCGGACTGCACGGTGTCGCCGCGCGCGGGCGTCAGGCTCAGCAGCTGCACGCTGTCGCCCAGCAGGGACAGCGCGGCGAACTTGTTGGGGTCGCGTGGCGCCTTGTCGTCCACCACGGCGGACGCGGCCGGCGCGGGTGCGGGTGCAGCCGCGGGCGGCGGCGGGGGACCGCCGGGCTTGCCATGGCGCGCCGGGGG